GGGTTCGTGTTCTAAACATTTAAGAACCTTCCTCTTGCATATCCTTCTTCTCCTGTTCCTGAAGGAAAAAAGTGAACATAACTTGTTTATAAATAGAAATCCGCTAGAAATTCAAATACCACCACAAAAAAAGGCAAAAAGAAACGCGCCAGTAATTATAAAGGACGATAAAGGTATCAGCAAGGTTGAGGCGCCCTGGCTAAAATTGACTTTGGCAGCTTTGGCTTAACAATTACGGTAAAAGGGTAGGCGTAAGCTCTAGATTAAAATATGTTCTCGAGAGAAAAAGTTCAGACTTTCGTTTAAAGAAAAGTTGAGGAATTATGGTTAATCTAATCCTTTGTGGGTACCTTAAAGAAAACAAACAAACAAACAAAAAAATCGTGCGCGCTTCAGTTCTTAAGAAACCACCCCAAATCATTGAACAGGTTTTTAGCAATAGTAATTGTACTGAGTGGAGTCTAATTCGGTTCGAATTCGGTTGAGCTGTTTGGTGCAGCAAGGTCGCTAAGGAGTTCCTGCCTAATGGAGATCATGACACCTTGAAAGATTATCAACTTTTTTACAAAAATAAATTTTTCTCAATAAATTGCGCGCATTTTAAGATTTTAAATTTGATGTTTTTGAAAATGCAGGTTTAAGTAATTAAGCTCTGAACGTCATTTTTGTGTTCTGGTTTTGGAAACCTACCTTCTAATCTTCCATAAATCCAAGGCTTCCTTTCTGATATCTTTGGAGACGTTGGCCGACACGTTTGCTGTAGTGTAGGTGTCTCCGTCTAACCTGTCTGTGTAGTTCAAAACAGAAGAGGATCCGTGCTCAAGTACCACAACCAAGATAAGCAGCAAAGCACTGAGAAAATATCCTGCCATGTTTTCTAATGAAGAGAAAAATAAAGTAACTTGAAGTCGTCAACATTAAGGTCAATCAATTCATTATTGACATGAATTGACATTACTGTTTTTAAAATTAAACTTATAAATGTTGATAAGCTTCATTGATTTCATTTTTGCAAAATACAGTCTTGTAAAACTTGCAGTGATTCGTATAAGCGCAAAACTAGATTGTTTCTTTGGTGGTTTCTGTGTCACAGCAACATAAAACTTGATTTCAACTTATTCTTTTAAATCGAGGTGGATAGTTTCTAAAAGAAAACCACTAAAATTCGATCAAGGCCACTGGCGCATGAAACTTCGTTTTAGTCATGCGCATTGGGACATGAAAGTCTGAAATTATAGCAACTCTTTGCAAGTTTGACACACGCGCTGATTCAGAGCGAATTCGTAAAACTTTCCACGGAAAATCTGCATAAGAATACGTTTGGACAACTCATGTGGCGTGTTTCAAGGAATTATTGATGAAATGTATGATCAACAACCTCTTCGCTTCCGACGTCTGACCTTGGCAGTCGCCGTCGCGGATTCAAACCCCTCGTCAGATTTATGGCATGTGACAGCGAAAATAAGGAGATTTTTAATATTCTCTGACAACAAACCATTAATGTCGATATTTCCCAACTCATTCTATGGTGAAAGGATGGTGATGTGGCTACTACAAAATTGTTAACGGCCGCGCTCTGCGATTGAGGTAAGGTTTGCTAAATATATTTGCATGAGAGAGCTGTCCGCTGTTTGCCGGTACTGACACTCGCAAATCACCCCAAAGAAGTTTCACTTAAAATACTAATGTCAGTTGTGTCTGCTTTAGAAAGCAGTCTCGTATAATCCCAATCTCCTTTCAATACGTATGCAGTTATTTGTTGCGAGCAAGGAAATTTTCTTTTCAGATTTGCATGTCTTGTGAACTCTGCCTTAAATTTCTCATTTCTGTCTGTACGGTTGCACGTTTAAGCTTAGAGAGTACACGGAAAGTACTTTAAAACGCAGATGTAAAATATTGTGCGACAACGAGTTTGGTTCACAATTTTAAAAGCCAAGAATGATTTCTGCTTTTCATATAATTATTATGCATGGCCTAATGACGCTTGCTTAGTTAAACTGTTCATGTTCACTTACAAGATCACTTTGGCAATCGGAAGTCCATGAGAATGTTTATTAAAATTTATTCCTGAGGCATAAACAATTCCGTAACATTATTAGGCCGCAGAGATATAGCTAATAAAATTTAGTGCCAGGGTGTCCTCCAACAAGGAAGTCGCTGGTTTTTGGTTTGAAAGATCAATTCTAATTTCTGCGTTCCAGTGAGTTTGAAACTAACCGCCGTCGTAATGTAAGGTAAATTACAACGACATACTATATCGAAAATAAAATCTGAAGTCGTGGGAAGGTAATCAGCAAAATACCATAGCCATCAAACGGCAGCATGCATCGTAGAATTTTCGTTGGCTAATTGGTCATTTTAACCCATATTACGTATTAGCCTAGCATGTTTTTTTAAAGCCATTTCTTTTTCATACTCGCGAATAGAGCCGAGTGTCAGTGCTCTGATAGATCGACTTTACAACAGGCTGTTAATCAGACTAAAGACCTTCTAAGTCGTTACTGAGAAAAGCAAGGATAAAAAGTTTGCACCGTGGTACCATTGTTGCATAATGGATTGAAGAGAGCCAATTGCAATTTAATCATATTTGTGTAAAATTAATAATCTAGCTATTTATAGCTGTGTTTGTATTTTCTGTTCATTTGAATGCTGCAGTCATCACCAATATCCTTAAAAGGGATAATTAATCCAGTGATTACGATCAGGTCCTTGATTTGAAAACAGGCCGTTCTTTTCGGATGGAAAGCAACAAAATATGGCTTAATCTGATATCGTCTGTAACCCTTTCCGAAACCCTTCGAGATTTTTTGTTGGTCCGTTATGACGCGAGAACGATGCCTATGGAGTTAACTTAGAACATTAAGTCCTTACAGACTTAGATGATAATTAAAAGCAATTAGTATTGGTATTGATAACTAACTTAGTATCAAGTTCATTCTTACCTTCAAGTCAGTTGATTCTTCACACTGGAACGAACAAATCACTCTAACTTTTCTAACTTAGAACTTCTTATTTTATAACTCCAAACAGGAACTCTTAAGATTATTGTGTCTTCTGTTGTGGTCAGTTGTAAATGCCATTAAAATGACTATTTGGCACAGACAACGTGCATGTCCTCCAACAAGGAATTTGCCCTCAAAAAAATCTTTCTCGAATTTGCCGTTATTACCATTACCTAAAGGTCTCTGCCAAATTCCGCATTCAAAGGTTAAAAAGAAACACAACAGTATTGTCAGTAATCGACACTCGGCTCTCAAGAGGAAGTCGAAGTTGAAGAAATAAAACCAGAGCAATATTGACAAATGCTGCCGAGATCAGGTTTTTGTGAGAGGCACTTAAGTCTGCAAACCCATTTTTCTTTATTGTACTCGCTATTTTGGTTATTTATCGAACAAACTTTAATGTCTTATTAACTAGTTGTATGAGTTTAGTGCATGGATGTCTTCCAAAAAGGAACTCGTTAATTGTTTAGGGTCAATACTATTTGTCTTTATTTTTGGAAAAAGCGGCTCGTCAAAAAGGTTGCGGCTGATATTTGTTATATTTGGCTTAATTTTATTTGCATTGCCTTGCAGTTTTCGCATTCAGGATCACTTTAGAAAGCTGAAGTACCAAAAGATGTTGACCTAAATTTAATCTTGGGTTATACATCAATTATGTAACTTTGATTTTATTGTTGTTTGAGTATAATACGTGCATGTCCTCCAACAAGGAGTGTGCAAAAAAAAAATCTATCTCAAATTTGCCATTATTACTATTGCCTAAAGGTCTCTACCAAATTCCACATTCATAGGTTAAAAAGAAACACAACAGTATAGTCAGTAATCAGTACTCGGCTCTCAAGAGGAAGTAGAAATTGAAGAAATGTAACCAGAGCAATATTGACAAGTGCTGCCGAGATCAGGTTTTTGTAAGAGGCACTTCAAGTCTGCAAACTTTTTTGGCAGATGTGCATGTCTTGCAACAAGGAATTTGCCATAATTACTATTACCTTCTTGGGTTATACATCAATTATGTAGCTTTGATTTTATTGTTGTTTGAGTTTAGTACGTGCATGTCCACCAACAAGGAATTTGCAAAAAAATTGATCCATACAAAATCCGAACTTTCTACATTCAATCGTTCCCAAGTCTCAGTTACAAGATAGTGATTCTATTTATCTGCTATTACAACGGAAATACACGCCTGAAGTACGTAAATCCATGATTGACATTACTTATTCGTGATTTACTAAAAATCCCAAGATATTTCCTGTCAACTTGGTTTTAACAGCTGTTTCTCATTATACGCCGATCAACACTTCTGTAATTTATACCCGCACGCCCTATTGCGGCACGAATGACACCTCACGCAACGTCACAGGATGTTCCAGCCTAAACGCACACGCACAATTTCCCTAAGCAATTCCTTATCTAATTATTTCAGACATTTACTGATTTTCTATATCACGAACATTCTTACTACAAGTCTGCCATTACCGTGCTACGTTCAGTTATACACCTAAATCTTAAGTAACCCAACTGTCATCAGACCTTTAGCTTAAGTACTAAATTAGAAAGAAAGTGTCACGCGATACGCTTACAAGACTATTACGACACCATTGAATGGCAAGGAAATTCACCGTGAGCAAATCAAAAGTAGTTTTTTATAGTTGCGAGAGGGTGTTTGTTTGATGTAGTAGAGCGTATCAACTTTGTCTTTCGTCTAACGTAAAATAGAAGTCAACTAAGGTAGTTTTAGACACGCTGAAATTTGATGAGGACGTCACTCATTGAATTCGAGGCAGAAAGAGAGGAAACATAAGCAATGTATTACCGACAATAAATTTTTCCCCTAAATGCCGGAGTGTAGAGCTGTAGTTAATCTTCAACCCAACGGCAACTGCTATGGCATTTTTCGGCATAAAAGGAGTTGAGAGTTCCGTAAGGCAATCACATCCCCTGCAATCTTCAAGTACTCCACCTCTACGTACCACTGTGGCGCCCACGCTAGCCAAGAACACGAAACACGAACCGGTTGATTAACCAAAAGGTTGCACATGGGTCAAATTATTCACTGGTTTGCGGCTATTTACGGCAATTTTTCCCTAAGTTGTTACCGAAAGAGGCTGTCGAGTATGAAGTGGAAAGTTCAGATGGTCTTCAATAACAAGGGACGTGTTACTGATGCTTGACGTTGCCGCTTTATACGAAAAACGATTTGGAGACCCATGAACCAGTAATATTACGTCTGACCACCGACCTTTTTATTTATTTTTCGCTTTTTCAATCAACTGTACTTAACTGATGTTTAAGGGGATCGAAGTTACTGAATTCAACTGTCTCGAGGTTGCACATGTGGCAAAGTGACCAAACGCTACAACAAGTTAAGGGTTAACTCTACAGTTGTATTCCCGACTACTCACTTAAACCGGTGACCAATCATAAGCCTTTCTCTTCTTTCACCAAGTTTTGCTATGAACAGAAAATCGCTTTTCAACAAGATGCTTCAATACTAAGGCGGATAGTTTAGTTCACGTAGAGTATTGACAATTAATTAATTACGAATGACAAGCATCCAATTTCTCCTCACAATATCACCCCATTTATGAAGGTCACGGGAATAGAGAGATTGATCATCAACTAAACAAGCTTTTGATTGTTAAAAATATTCTCCTTCTCAGTACCTTAGAAGATATACCAAGAACAGTATGGAGAATATGCGTACTGATGTTATTGTGTAATGGTAAGGCAACTCATAAATCTTCTTGAACTTAGACTCTAGGGCTGATACTCGAAAAATGATCCGCTGCGCATGTAAGTTGATAGTCAATAACGAGACATTGATTGATACATCACTGAAGTTAACTTTACTACACTAATATCTGAGGCGAAATGTGGCGGGCTTCCAAAATTGATGATCTGGATAGCCTCT